GTGGAAAGCCATGACATGATGATAATAGATTGAGAGTGTCTCGTGATATGATCTCATCTACATCAGTCTGAATGACGAGTGAACCTTTAGGTAGTTGTAATTCCGATAAAACGTCACCAACGACCCTTCTCATCGTTTCTTCATTGACGAATGATCCTCTCGGTTGTCCTTTTTTCAAATCCAACACTGAACGATAGACCACTTTCCCTCCTGCCTCAGCAGCGATCTCGTTGAATCGTTCTCGGTGTTCGGCAAAGTGTAATGGTTTGGGATCACCTGCAAAAGTCGCATTGGCCTCGACAACGATGAACGTTGAAACATGTTTAGCGTATTCTCGCATTCGAATTTCGAGCATATCCAATTCGGTAGAGAATAGAATCGCATCAACGATCCTTGGAGGTCCATCAGGACGTGTATCCCATCCATGGAGTTGACACCATTTACTGATCAGTTGTGGTTTTGGAAGATCAGGACCAGGAGGAAGAGGGAAATGATCAATTATCGTGAATGCTCGTTCGGGTGTATCCCATATGGGTCGTATGAGGTAGATGAGATCGCGTCGGAATGTACCGAGAGTATGTAAGTTGAGGAGAATGAAGAGGAAGAGACAAAGGAGGATCACGAGCCGATATGGACGTCGGCGAACTTGGGATACAACGAGTGAGAGGTAAGATCGACGAGGTGATGATGGGTCTTGCAAAGAGAGCGGTAGTAGTGGGCGTAGGTCAGTCATCTGTCGATTGTCGTTGCCGGCAGTATCATCATTGTCTCCGCTGTCGTTGTTGTTGAGAAAAGCCATCAAACCATGATCACGACCTTTGATCCGCAGCATGTCAAGACCACGTGCGGCTAGTCATTTGCACTTGAATCCCGTGTCACTTGATCTAAGAGCTATCTAAGTCCCGACGACGCAAGTCCACGACAGATTTGAACAAACAGGTGACGGTGAGGGTGAGGGTGAATGATCAAACGTCGTGCGCCTTTGACGTTTGAAACGAAGGTCATCGCGCTCATCAAACAAGCTCCTCCCCTCCCTTAGACAGGGCAAAAATCATTCACGGGGACCATGTACAATTACATTCGTACTAACTGCTTGACCTCACACATGACCTACTTGACCTCCACCACATGACCTGCTTGCTTCATCGCATTATATGCAAGCTGCATTTGCCATTTATCTCATCACCTTTTAGATCAAACCGTTAATCAGCCTGATTCTTACCCAGACCTTTTTTTTTGGAAAAAAAATACATCACGCCTAAAGGTAACTCTGGTAGTGGTGCTGGTGCTGGCGGCGGTGGTGGTAAGGTAATGTGGGCAGTCTAGTGATTGCCAGACTCAGTAGTAGTAGTAATAGCGTGGTTTCCATCAATGTTATGAAGGAAGGTGATTCGCATGCAAAGAAATCATGCCACAGACTGCACAGGTGACTGACTGACTATATTCAGCCTAGTATCGAGAATCTACAACTTCCTGTTCTCCTCTACTCGTCGTCACAAAATAAAACCCTACCTCTCGCCTCATTGCCCATTTTGCTGATAACCAGCCTGACCATATACCTCTCCTCCGTATGTGTATGATGCTTGACCATGTGGGGTGTAGGGATGCTGAGTACCATCCGCATCGCCATCACTCGCATTTGTGAACCCATAGTCTCGTCCCTGATACGCCCGATCATCGTCGTGTTCTCCACCGTGCATCTGCATCTCGATGGGTAATTGAATACCCATGTCCAGCTCATCCATCTGACCCGCTGCAGCTTGCATGGCCTGTTGGACCATGTTCATATCCACCTGAGACGAGCCGTTGTGGCTCAGAGAAGGATCAATGTCGAGACTGGATGAAGAAGGGCCCGGTTGGGGTGTATGGGAAAAGTTGGGTTGCGTGAGGTCGCCATTTTCGTGAACAAAGTATGAAGAGTCACCGAGATCAGTGTGCATCGGAGCGTCAACCCCGTCGATAGGCTCGGGTTTCGTGCGTCTGCGATTTGCCTGACCTGACCGACCGGGCGCTCGAGGAATTCGTGCGCGTTTCATCGGAGGACCGCCTTCAGAGATACCAGGCGCAGACATGGACACCTTTACGCCTGGATGACCCACTGCTAGCGCCTCGGCAGCTGCTGCTTTGTGAGCTGCCGTGGCAATCGCCTCTTGGTCCTTTTGGGCCTGCGCAATCGCTTCCTCCTGCTTCATCCCTCGGCCTTGGAAGCCGCCATTTTCGAATCGCCAAAGATGATTTTGCCGGATGCGCCATCCAGCGATACACCCTTGATTGAGCTTTTCGTAATACATGTCGGCACCCTTTCGAGCGAGGTAAGTCCGCACGCGATGTGCCGAGCAACGACCCTCGTCCCCATCCCATTCTGCGGGATAATGCTTCCGAATCCAGTTGACGATATCGTTGGGTTTCTGCGGACGAACAGAACAGGGTGACGAATGGCAGTGAAAGTGCAAGAAGATGAGGTAAGGAGCGGTTGGACAGCAGGTAAGGTAAGGTGGAGGATGGATATCAGGAGATGGCAGGAAAAACAACGGCAAGGAAAAGTATGGTCAGCGAGCGAATAAACGTGGGAGAGGGAATGCATGGGGAAAGGTTCTGCAGTGATGATGCTTACCAATGGCCAATTGTCGTTCCCATTCGCAAGAAGTGCACGACCTGAAAAATCAGCCTACATGCATCACAAGGGCACGCAAGTACTCACCGATGAACAAGTTGACGCTTGCATTTTGGGGTGGCTAAGACAGGGCAAAAACCGCCACATCAGCACGTCTTCTTTCTGAATGGCAGTGCCACCCTGCGGTGGGCATCGTTCGCCAACTGATTAGATAGCGATATACGGTGAAGTGAAGTGTTGTCATTCCACTCACTGCTGGCCACTTTGTCTCTGGCTGAGTTGCATTGGATGGAGCAATTGCTCTCATGATTTTCGCCGTTGGGCTACCGGGTACATCATCTTCTGCTGCAGCGGCATTTGCCTGTTCGATAACATCCACATCGATCCATCCTTCGTTATTGATATTGGATATCTGAAAGTCTGTTGTACGTGGATTGGGAGCGCGAGCGATAGATTCAGTGATGGTCATTTGGGAATTGGAGTCGCGGGGAGTAGCGGTAGAAGAAGAGTTGTTGATACCATTTCGTGCTGGAGGAGGAAGGTTGACTAAATCCGGATCAATCATGGCGTCGGTCGCTGCACCAGATGGAGCAATTTTAGCCACCTCTGCGTAGGACGTGGCTGATTTAGATGCATCGGCGAGTGTAGAAGGTGAAGGATCATTGTTGGGAGGATCAGAAGCTGAAGCATCGATAGCGCTAGCGCTGGGCGCTGCACCGTCGGCGGGAAGGCTTGAAGCGATAGCGCTCGACGACATATCTCGCAGAGGTGATTGTCGATGTGTTCGAAGACGCTGTGAGAGCGTTCGGCGTCGTCTGAAGCTCGAGAACAATCAAGAGTGAAGGGTGTAGTGTAGTGAAGGGATAGGGGATAGGTCGGTTAGTGTGTTGTGTGTTTAAGTGAGGGGATCATTCAGCCAACAACACACAAAAAAGAAGACAGAGTCCAGGTATTACTTCAAGCGGTAAATTTCCAATCCCGGGATCAGATGTCACGTGATCATTCCCCCCCCTTTGACGCCAGAAGTTCGAAAAGTTGAGATGGAGCCGACTTGCGTATTTCGTCTGTCGTATCAATCAATTCGCCAGCAGTTTATAATCATTAACGGGGACTAGGCTGTAGCTTTCGAACTCACCTTGCGAGTGTGTGATATATCAACGCCAACCTCCTCTCCCTTTTGTCTTTTCACCATGAACCCTCGATCTCTTGCAACCCAGTTCCGCAATCTTCCCCGATCCGCCGCCCTCACACGACCCGCTCGTAAACCCCTAACTGTGCCTCGGTATTCACCAGCATCTGCATTCCGATCGTACTCTGATGCATCGGAATCATCAACGGCCAGCGCCGAAGGTGCCGCAAAGACTGCAGAGGTGCAAGCTGCGGAAGAGAAAGCAGCGGCATTAGAAGCCAAGATTAAAGAACTCGAGGTTAGTCAGCGCGCATCACAATACGTCCTTCGACGTTTTTCGTATATGCTGATATGATCTTTTTAGAGGGATGTATTATACCATCGAGCTGAGATCCAGACTCTGAACCGACGAATCGCCGACGAGAAAGCCAAAGCATCCGAATTCGCAATCACTTCTTTCGCTCGTAACCTACTGAGCACTTCCGATGTCCTCACCAAAGCACTTTCTCACGTCAAGACGCCAATCTCACCGGACAACCCAGATCTACACAACTTGTACAGTGGAGTAGAGTTGACACACAAGGCGATGCTCAAGACTTTCGAGCAGCACGGCGTAAAGAAGATGGAGGTGGAGAGAGGTGGAAGTTTCGATCCTAATATGCACGAAGCGACTTTTCAGATTCCCAAAGAGGCTGCGGGTCCAAAAGGAGATGGAGAGTGGGGACCAGGCGAGGTCGTCGAAGTTGGTAAAGAGGGTTGGACGATTGGAAATAGGGTTCTGAGGCCGGCTCAAGTTGGCGTAACTCAGATTGAATAGACGATGGGAGAGTCTTGCGTCTATCGCCAGATAGGTGGTAGATGCTTCATGTCAAGGGGAGATAGGTAGGGAGGGACTTAATGTAGAGGAAGGAAGGTTGGGAGGGACTTGATGTAGAGGAAGAGAGCTTGGGAGGGACTGCGGTTGAACCGCACATCATCGCATCATGCATTACCACTTCTCATGTCTATGGGGGCGAGATCTGTGGACCTTACTAATGACACTTGGGGCGAGATCTGTTGCTCGTCTAGTGAAATGAATCTGAACAGGGGACACACAAGGCACCAACTCTAGCTTCGATACACAGATACCGTGACCGCCGACATTCCTCGTTGATACTCACTCTCCTCATACCTTCCCTCCTTTGACCAGTCCTTTGCCCCTGTTTATAGGGCGTCCCATGACCTTTACAAGGGGCATGAACGGACCTAGCATAACAGGGACGAGTAGCATAACGGTCAATGCGCTGATAATGCACTTTCTCCTTGCCGCTGAGGTGAGCTCTGCCCGCCGAATGCGACAAGGGGCGAGTTAGATCATGAGAATCTAGGTTCGATTCCTAGCTCGTCCTGCAATATCTTTTTCTTTTTCTTTTTGGAAAGCCACTACTACTGACGCTCATAATCCAGTGGTAATAGGTGGGGGGCGAGATAGCATGAATTCTCTCTGACTAGCAATATGTACTTTTCATCCTCAGGACTTCTTTACATGATGTTTGACTGTGGAGACTTGTAGGTATGTATGCGATATCTTGCAAGCAATAGGTAGGACCTAGCGTGGGATTACACTGCGTAAATAACATCGCCGTTCAACCGACCCCCTTTTCCTCCACCCTCCCCCCTTTGCCTCGACTCATTTCGAAGGTGATGTCGAGCTATGCCGGCTCATCAAAAAGCGAGTAGCTCTCGTCAATTCATCATCGAGATAGCTATGCAGAGTCGGTAGTGAGCAGTTAAGTATCTGCAGGTAAGTGTCTGCGAGGAACGCAACAAGGTCCAATAGGAAGAAGTGATTTGCCACTGTCATGCAACAAGTCTTCTGTCCTCTTCCCAGTCTATCATCTGTCCGACTCGACCACCATGGTTGTCTAGACGCCACCAAGATATATATATATCTGTATACGTACTGTAGATTTGTGAACCTATATCTGTATTCGCAGGTGTAGAGTTGTATATCCAAATATACATTGCACGAAAACATTAGCATAATCAAACAAAATCCATTCAATCCTCATCCCCTTCCCCATCTTCAACCAGCTCTCCGCAAACCACATATTTCCGTTCGAAATGACCGTGCCAACCTCGCATGTTATCACTGATGAGCATCAGCGGGGTTTCTTGATGGTGAGAGTGGATAGCAAATGGGCCGGCCAGGATAAGCAAACGAGGATGGATATATATATAGTGTAGGAGAAAGATACGTGGACGGAATGGGTTTAGGAAGGTACATGTGGATATATGAGGTGTAGGAGAGAGATATGAGGGCGGGTATAGAGGTGTAAATAAAGTGAGATATGACGGCAAGAGGTGTAGTCGAGGAATTAACATACATTTCAGACTGTGTCAGATCGGAAAGAGTGTCCAGCGGTTGGTCAATGGGAGTGAGCATGTCTGAGACTGATCAGCTCTGAAAGAGGGAATATCAAAACAAAGGTGCATACCCTCTTCAAAGCTCTGCTTTGCCATACCTCGACTGGCATCTCGACCTGCGAAATTCCCGTAGACGCCATCTACATTACATGAATCAGCACCCGAGAAGCTTGATCATCAGCTCACCTGGTCCATAAAATGTTCTGCCAGAAGTCACATCAAAGACTGTCCGCTCTCCTTTCCCTCCTTGTGATATCTTGCCGGAACTTCCAACCCTGTAAATCGCCAGACATATCCTATCTCCTGACCTCCCATCCAGCGCAACCAGCTCTTTAGCCGTATATTTACGATGTCTCAGCACTTCTGGGTGTTTCTCCGGCATCCAGTTGTACACATCTGGGTCATAGGTCGAAGGCAAGGGCTCGGAGGTCGAAGGGAATGATGGGAAGATCAGGCGGTATATAAGCCATGCTATTGGCGCTAGCAAGATAACGTTGAGAGGGTTACTGAGTGACATTGTGAGCAGTCTGCCGGATCCAGATGAGCCGTAGATGTCGATTCCAGCACGAATAGTCTATAGTTGGACAACCAAGAGCTGTACGGAATGCGCGTCTCTTCGGCCTCGGCTCCTTTTCTTTCTTTCTTTCTTTCTTTCTTTTTTCTAAACGCGGACGTCCGCAAGTAGCTTTAGTACGTTTAACAACAACTTTGTATCCCATCTTTGTCCTTTCATCCTCCTTGAACTCGTCTTTGTCATCTAACAAGCACACACTCCTTCAGCAGTATCGACACACCTGGACGAATGCGTTGAATCTCAGTGTCATTATCCATACACCCCTTTAAAAGCTTCGTCAGCGATGATGTCAACCTCTGCAGGACCGTCGACAGTTGGAACCGTTGTTCGGCGGGCTGGTCATGGAGGACTGACGAGGCGATCCATTCTCTCGTCTTCTCGTAGAGGTATGTCGCTAGCTCCAGTCAGTTCATGGGGGCTGATTGGTCGTATCTCTAGCTACAGGAGGTCCTTCTATGCTCCAAAGTCATTACAGAGCCTTCTCTTCTCAGACGTATATCGCCTCTATCCCTCTTTCCACCTTTTCATCCAGAAACCAATACACCTCCATTCGTCATGTTTCTACAGAGCCTCACCGGACAACAGCAGATCCACCTCCCTTCCCAGTCTCCAAGCCGGTTTCCGCAAACGAAAAGGAGACTGCGCTCTCCAAAGTACCGCCTCCTGGTAGTCCTCCTCCTCTTCCTCCTGCGCCACTCAGTGCCATCCCACCCAAAATCACCGATCTCGCTGCCGAAGAGGCTGAGAAGGAGGTAGTCAAGAAGGAAAAGGAAAAGGACAAGAAACCGACCGGCTCGTTGCCCGCTAGAGCATGGAGTGTAGTCAAGAAGGAGGCTGCTCATTATTGGGCTGGAACAAAGCTTCTGGGTCAGGAGATCAAGATCACTACCAAGATTCAATACAAAGTATTGCAAGGAGGTACTCTCACACGACGAGAGCGACGACAGGTCAGCTACTTCGTATTCTTCGACGAAAGCTGATCGAAATTGTAGCTGCGACGTACCACTGGTGACCTGCTGCGATTGCTCCCCTTTTCAGTCTTCGTCGTGGTACCATTTATGGAGTTCTTATTGCCTGTTGCCCTCAAGCTGTTCCCCAATATGCTGCCCAGCACATTCGAGGGTCAATTCGCTGCCGTGAGTCATGCTATGCTACCATTTGACAACGACTGAGCTTTCGTAGGACGAAAAGCAGCGAAAACTTCTTCGAGTGCGAATCGAGATGGCCAAATTCTTGCAGGAGACCGTAAAGGAGGATGGTCTAAAGGCGGAAAGTGTGGTACGCAGTGACGAATTCAAGGAGTTCTTCCGTAAAGTGAGCCTGCTAGTTTTCCTCTCATCTCACAAACTGATCAAGGTAGGTTCGATCCACTGGCGAAACGCCCTCGCAGCATGATGTAATCCGAGTCGCCAAACTCTTCCATGACGATATCACCCTCGACAACTTGTCCCGACCACAGCTCGTCTCCATGTGCCGCTACATGAACATCAATGCCTGGGGTACCGACAACTTTCTCAAGCATCAGATCAGGAGCAAGCTGGAGAAAGTCCGCGTGGATGATATGGTAAGCCGAAATTATATAAACCCGAGCTGACGAGGCAGATGATCTACGCCGAAGGAGTGGATTCTCTATCCACCAAAGAGCTGCAGAGCGCTTGTCAGTCTCGAGGGATCCGTTTCCAGGGTATCTCACCAGCCCGTCTCCGAGAGGAATTGGAGCAGTGGATCGAGCTTCACTATACAAACGGTATCTCAGGCGTCTTGCTGGTGTTGAGTCGAGCGTTCAACTTTGAATCGAAGAGCGACGACGTCATGGACAGCTTGGTTACCACTCTGAGCTCCCTGCCTGAGAACCTGGTTCGTCTTCACTTCTGAGAGGGTGATCACGGCTAACTGGGCAATAGTTGAACGAAGCTGAACTTAACGTTTCCGACGAGGCATCATACAAGCAGAAGCTCGAGGTGCTGCAGCAGCAACAGGAGCTTATCGAGGACGAGGCCGAACAGGAACAGGTGAGAAAGCTTCTATTCGCCGCGTATGGTGCTGACATTACTGTAGGAAGAGCAGGAGGCCAGGAAGGAGAAGAAGGAAGCGGAAGAGGCAGCCAAGCGCGAGAGGGAAGAAGCGGAAGCTGCTGCCGCGGAGGCGTCTGGAAAGCCAGCGACTGAGCCGGTTGAGGAGCCTGCAGATGACGCAAAGATGACCAAGGAGCAAGTCTCGGAGCTTGCCGAGGCTTTGTCGATCTTGACAGCAAAGTCATCAATCGTGAAGGAGCGAGACGAGCTGCGGGCTTTGCTGGAGGACAACTTGCTGTCGGAGGCTGTGAGTATCTAGTTTAGTCTCTGAAGGCCGCGCTGAAGCCGCCAGAAATCCAACGAGAGGCAGGAAGACGACGACTCGCCTACAGTGGTTGTCTCCAAGCGAGTGCGATCGATGATCAAGAAGATCGATACTCAGCTGGAGAAATACGACGAACGTGTCGGTTCTAGCCTGAATGTCATCCAGACAAACCCAAAGGGGCAGATCAGCTTGGCCGATCTCAAGCAAGCCATGAAGGTCATCAAGCACAAGCCTGATGACGAGGTCATTGAGGAGCTGGGCAAGAAGCTGGATGTGGATCAAGATGGCTTTGTCGTACGTATTTGCCATAGAAAAGGATTCAAGGCTAATGTCATTTAGGAACTGGACCACGTTATCGAGCTGACCCAAGACCATGGCCTCGGGATTTTGATGGACGACGAGGCGGCCCAGAAGCTGCTAGACAAGGGAAAAGATATCAGACACAGCAATGACGTGAAAGAAGCGAAGGATCTGAAGTGAGTCCTATCCCAATCAGTTCTGACATCTTCGTACTGATTCCCTTCCAGGCCAAAAAGAGAAGACATTATATCGGAATAGACTACATCCCGCATTCTCCCTTGCCACCTTACAAACTCTGCAACTCTTACCGCTCATGTCACATCCCATGCATCTTTTGTTATTGTTATCCGCGCAGCGAATCTCGAACCTGTCGTGTTGTTGGGCATTGAGCATCCTTTGTCCCGATCCCCTAGGAGTTTGCGTGAAAGGACTCTCGGATTAATCACGATACCTAACCATGCAGACTTGCTTGTGAACTGACGAACTAATTTTGCGTTGGATGAAAGCGGATCGGCGGGACCGATCGTGCTGTTTGATTTATACACTGCATGAGGGTTCCAACACTCACTTGGGTGGGTTACAATATCATTCGACTGTCTGCGTTGGCATTTTTGGTGTGGGGATTGGTAGCCCAGTTCATCACGATGGCTAAGTGAGTTGTCTCCTGGGTTTCTCGAGATCGATCATCATGCTGAACAAGCTTTCAAGTGATCTGAAAGAGTATTCTGCCACCAAGAAGAGTAGCTCGAGTTCTTCGTTGGCTGTACC